CTTCAAGGTCTCAAATTGAAAACTCAGCCAGCACAGTGGTTTATGCCTGTAATCTACTGTGGGAGCCTGGGGAGGCTGAGGCAGGAGGATGGTGAGTTCAAAGCCAGCCTCAGCAACTTAGCAAGGCCCTAAGCAACTCAGTGAGCCCCTGTCTCTAAATAAAATACAGAAAAGGACTGGGGATGTGGCTCAGTGGTTGACTGTCCCCAGTTCAGTCCCTGGTCCCAATAAATAAATAACTAATAACTGTACAATTTGGGGGCTGGGGGCTTAGCTCAGTGGTAGGGCAGGCACTTCCCTAGCATGTGTGAGGCCCTGGGTTCCGTGCCCAGCACTGAAATTAATTAATTAAGTTGTACAATGTGAGGAGTTTTGACATATACTCCTGTAAAACTAGTGCCACATCCAGATGGCCATAAAATAATGAAGCTATCCATCACCCTAGAAGTTTCCTCCAGCCCCCTTGTAAACCCTCTGTCCCCCACCCCCTGACACTCACTGACACTTCCAGACATCTGCTGATCTGCTTCCTGTCATCAGGGTGAGTTCATGTTTCCCGAATGCAGTTATACAGTGTGTACTCCATGTCTGACTTTTCCATTCAGCATAACTCTTGAAATTCATGCATGTTGAGATCTATAAATAATTTGTTCCTTTTTACTCCCAAGTACTAGTTTATTACATGGCTATACCACAGTTTTTCAAGTCAGGTCAATTGAGGGTTTTTTTGTTGTTCTTGTTGTTTGGTTTTAATTTTTTTTGGTACTAGGGATTGAACCCAAAGGTGCTTTACCACTGGGCCACATCCCCACCCCTTATTATTTTTTATTTTGAGACAAGGTCTTGCTAAGTTGCTGAAGCTGGACTCCAACTTGTGATCCTCCTGCCTCAGCCTTCCAAATAGGTGAGATCACAGGTGTGCACCACTAGCCTGCAGTTTTAAATTTTTGATGTAGTCCAATTTTTTCTTTTGTGGCCTATTCTTCTGAGAACTTAGCCAAGAAATTATGGCCAAAGCCAAAGTCATGAAGCTTTCTCCCTGTGATTTTCTGAACAAACTTTTCTCCTAACCCCATGCAATTCACTTAACCCTGTGACACCAGATGTGAAGGGACTTTTTTCCACACACCAACTCTGTAGCGGATACCAATGGGGTGTCCTATAATTTGACTCAATTCTGACACTATCCACCTGGGGAGAGCATCTGATCCCACAGGTTGTAGGCTCAGTACTACAAGCCAGCGCCCGCTTTGGATGCCAGTCATGAGTCCCAGGTTGTCACCTGTACTTCTGACCAACCATGCGGGAGATTCCCATGATCCGCTCCTCAGAACTGATGGATTTGCTAGCATGGCTCACAGAAGTGAGGGAAGCAACCGACTAATTTTTTATACAGACAGTCCCCAAGTGACTGATGGTAACTTAGTATTAGATGGTAACTTTCACTTAGAATTTTTAAATTTAATTTAATTTTTTAATGCTGAGGATAAAACCCAAGGCCCCCAGCATGCTAGGCAAACACTCTACCATTGAGCTACACCCTCAGCCTGATTTTTTAATTTTATACTGGTACAAAAACTATGTGCATTCAGTAGAAACCATACGTTAAGATTTTAAAAAAAAATTTTTTTAGTTGTAGTTGGACATAATACCTTTGCTTATTTACTTATTTTTATATGGTGCTGAGGATCGAACCCAGCGCCTTGCACGTGCTAGGCAAGTGCTCTACTGCTGAGCCCCAGCCCCATACTTTAAATTTTGAATTTTGATCTTTGCCTGGACTAGCCAAGTGCAGTAAGGTGTAATCTGGGGCAGCAAGCCACAGCTCTGAGTCTGCCCCGTGACACCAGAGGAGACATCACTGATGTGTACCACTGAGCCACATCCCCAGCATATTTTGTATTTTATTTAGAGACAGGGTCTCACTGAGTTGCTTAGGGCCTCGCTTTTGCTGAGGCTGGCTTTGAACATGCAGATCCTCCTGTCTCAGCCTCCCAAGTAGCTGGCATATGCCACTATGCTCTGCAACCCTCAAGCTTTTTAGCTTTCAAAAATGATTGCAAGGGGCTGGGGACATGGCTCAAGTGGTAGCGCGCTCGCCTGGCATGCGGGAGGCACTGGGTTCGATCCTCAGCACCACATAAAAATAAAATAAAGATATTGTGTCCACCTAAAGCTAAAAAAATAAATATTAAAAAAAATGATTGCAAGTCTGGGTGTGGTGGCACACCGCTGTAATCCCAGTGGCTCAGGAGGCTGAGGCAGGAGGATCACAAGTTCCAGACCAGCCTCAGCAACTTAATGAAGTCCTAAGCAACTCAGAGAGACTCTGTCGCAAAATAAAATAAAGGACTGGGGACTTGGAAGCAGTTAAGCATGCTTGGGTTCAATCTGAACAAACTTTTATCAAAAAATAAAAAATAGGGCTAGGGATGTGGCTCAAGCGGTAGCGCGCTCGCCTGGCATGCGTGCGGCCCGGGTTCGATCCTCAGCACCACATACAAACAAAGATGTTGTGTCCGCCGAAAACTAAAAAATAAATATTAAAATTAAAAAAAAATATATCTGGGAGGAGCTGTAAATCTAGCTCAGCAATAAAGCCCTGGGTGGCCTAGCATGTGTGAAGCCCTAGGTTCAATGCAATTGAAGTATAAAAAAAATTGTGAAATTCTTTATTTCCTGGTGCATCTTTTTTAGTTGACATCTAAATTACAGGGTTTTGATCATTATAAAATGTAAAATTTTAATTTTCTAAAACCTTTTTATGTGACACATAATAATTATCCATAGTTATAGGGTACAGGGTCGTATCACAACACATGTCTATAACGTGTAATGATCTGATCAGATAACTGGCACATCTATCATCTCAAACATTTGTCATTTCTCTATGTTGGGAATATTGAAATTGAGCTATTTTGAAATATAAAATTAATTGTTGCCAATCACAGTTATCCAACTGTGCAGTAGAACATTAGAAGGGATTTCTCTTGTCCAATTTTCACCATCCTCTCTCCATCTCTTCCCCCTCTATCAAATGGAAAATCTAAATGGCAGTGCATTTCTGGTAAGATGAATTCAGGGGGCTTTTCTTTTTTTGTGTGTGGGGGGTGGGGGTGCCAGGGATTGAACTCAGGGGCACTTAACTACTGAGCCATACCCCCAGCCCTTTTTTGTTTTTTATTTAGAGACAGGATCTCACTGAGTTGCTTAGTGCCTCACTATTGCTGAGGCTGGCTTTGAACTTGAGATCCTCCTGTCTCAGCCTCCTGAGCTGCTGGAATTACAGGCGCACACCACCGCACCCAGCTGAGAGGGCTTTTCTTAATTTTCCTTCTACCTGTGGATGAATGTCCCTGTTGCTACAAGGAGACTGAATTGAGCCTCCATTGGACTCCTATTTTTCTTTTTTATATACTATTAAATTCCAGTGACCACTGTTACAAATGAATACACTTTTGGTGGCTTAGACCAGTAGACATATGCCAGGTCCAGTGGTGCACTCCTGTAATCCCAGGGCTCTGGAGGCTGAGGCAGGAGGATCATGAGTTCAAAGCCAGCCTCAGCAACTCAATGAGACTCTGTCTCTAAATAAAATATAAAAAAGGGTAGGTGGGTACTGGGGCTGTGGCTCAGTGGTAGAGCACTCGCCTAGCATGCGTGAGGCACTGGGCTGGATCCTCAGCACCACATAAAGAAATAAATAAACAAAATAAAGGTATTGTGTTCATCTATGAATAAAAAAAGAAATTCTTCAAAAAGTGGGGGGGCAGGGGATGTGACTCAGTGTTTAAGCACCTTTGAGTTTAATCCCTGGCATAAAAACAAACAAATACTAGACATGTGTTCACTCATCATTCTGGACGTCAGAAGTCTGAAATCAGCATCTCTGAGCCGGAAGTCAAGGTGTCAGCAGGGCTGTGTTCCATCTGGAGTTCTAGAGGTGCCTTGGTCCCTTGTGCCTTTCAGCTTCTGGTGGCTACAGTATTCCCTGGATCATGGGATCACTCCAGTCTCCAAAGGCAGCACCTTTATTTTATTTATTTCTATGTGGTGCTGAGGATTGAACCCAGTGCTCCACCCCTGAGCCCCAGCCCCAGCCTGAGGCCAGCACCTCTGAACTGCTCTCTGCTCTGGCTTCACACCACCCTCTCCTATTTGTTGAGATCTCCCTCTGCCTCCCTCTTTCATGGTTGCGTTTGGAGCCCACTAAAACCGTCCCAGACTCCTCCCATTTTAAGATCCTTACCATCACTGGGTGCAACGGTTCACACCTGTGATCCCAGCAGCTGGGGAGGCTGAGGCAGGAGGATTGGGAGTCCAAAGCCAGCCTCAGCAATTTAGCAGGGCCCTAAGCAACTCAGCAAGACCCTGTCTCTACATAAAATATAAAAAGGGCTGAAGATTAGAGTTGTGTGCCTCCCCATCTGGTTCAGTATGAGTTTTAAATAGCCAATAATTTCACTGGTTTTAGTTTTTTTTTCTCTTCTTTCCTTCTCCCCCCCCCCCCACCATTGTTGTGCTAGGATGGAACCCAGGAGCCCAGGGACTGGGGAATGCCAAGAAAGCACTCGACCACTGAGCTACACCCCAGATTTTGTTTTAATTTTTATTATGTAGTTAATAGAAATTTTAGAATTATATTCATAGTTTATATTGTATTTCTACTGAAAAGTGCTACTCTACGGGGACAGAAGACAATTAACACAAAAAGTGAGTATATTGTGTTCTATGGTAGAAATAACCCAGGGGTGCTTAACCACTGAGCCACATCCCCAGCCCTTTTTAAAAATATTTTATGTAGAGACAGGGTCTCACTGAGTTGCTTAGGGCCTTGCTAAGTTGCTGAGGCTGGCTTTGAACTCTTGATCCTCCTGTGTCAGCCTCCTGAGCTGCTGGATTTACAGATGTGCACCACCATGCGTGGATTATATGGTACATCTTGAGGGAAAAAAAATAAAGAAAAAAAATTGTCGTTGGTATATCAAATCACCACAATCTCAATGACTTGAACAAGTTTATTATTTTATAGCTCTCTAGGTCAGAAGTCCAGAACAAAAGCCGAGTTCCTTCTGAAGTCCCAGGGGACAATCCATGCCTTGTCTTTTAACTTCTGGAGTGTCCGCCTTGGTGTCCACATCACTCTGATTTCTATTGGCATCATTGCTCCTCTGACTCTCCCTCCACCTTTTTTTTTTTGGAGCTGGGATTGAACCCAGGGCCTTGTGCATGGGAGGTAAGCACTCTGCCAACTGGGCTATTTCCCAGGCCCCTGTCTCCCTCTTATAGGGACCCTTGAGCCAGCACACCGCTAACCTTCTCACGTCTGTCCTTGATGTGAGCACACCTGTGATGTGTTAGGTAGCATATTCACAGACTGGGGGGATTAGGTTGAAACATCCTTCTGGGGTGTCATTATTTTGCCTATCACCGAGTCAGGTGGGAGTAGACATGGTTCTACAGAGGGCTGTCAGGGAGAGCCTCCCTGAGGTGACATCTGCGTGAGGACCTGGAGGGGAGAGAGGGTACACTGCGGATATTAGGGAAGGGCACTCCAGGAAGCCGGAACAGCTCTTGCCAAGGCCCTGAGGTGGCCATTCCCTTTTCCTGGGAACCGTTCTGTCTTGCTGTCCCTAATCCGCGCACTGTCCCAGCCGCCTTTGTATCTTGCTTGAGGAGTAGAGAGGGTCTGAGACGGCTAATCATCAGTGGCCCCTGGCACAGTAGCGACTGCCCATGGCTCCTCAAATGGCAGGTTGGCCTGTGGGGGTGCAGGGAGCCTGAGTCAGAAGGAAAACAGGTCCCACTCCCGCCTCCTCCCGCATCCCAGACTGGCGGTCACCTGGGCTCCAAGTGGGTTCTGTCCGTGCAGCGTGCGCCTGCGGTGCCACTGGCGAAGGGAGTCACGGGCCTCGGAGCTGAGCCCCTGGGGTGCGCGGCCCGCGTCAGGCTGGTAGTGGGCGATGTGGTGCAGCGCCCCAAACCACGTGGTCAGGTAGTACCCGGCTGGGGACGAGAAGGGGCGGTCAGCGCGGCTCTCTGGATTTCCGGCCACCCGCCTTTCCTGCTGAGCAGGAGGAGTGTATCTGGGCCTTGGTGTTCTGGAGGTGGGGACTCACCCTCTCCCCGTAGCTCTTCTGGATCCAAGAGCTCCATTAGAAACTCCACGTCCAGCTGTGTCTCCCCAATGTGCGGACTCCAGATCAGCTCCTCGGTCAAGGCCGGCAGGAAGGCGTCGGCCCCCTGGGGTTCTGGGAAAGCCAGAGGACAGGTCCTGAGGTGGCGGGGGCTGCGGAGACATCTGCCACCCGATCCCCAGGACCGCGAGACCTGGCTGCCACCCCACCTTGTCCAGTATGCAAACGCCTCCTACCAGGACCGCCACCCTCTGCCACCCTCTTCTTCGACGTGCGCACAGGTGCATCCTACCTGGCTCCCCCAGCCCTCAAGCCACTGCACTCCCAGTTAGACGCCCATGGCTCCTTTACCTTGGTTGTCGCCGCCCGCCAGGCCCGAGTACACGTCGCTGCACACCTCCAGCAGGAGCGCCACCTTGCGGCGCGGCGCGCACGCGGCGTGCAGGTGCTCTAGGCGCGCGTGGATGCGGTTCCGCAGGGAGGGGGCGGGGCTTGGACCCTCAAGCCCCGCCCCCTGAGCACCTGGAGGCCCCGCCCCCACCCGCAGGGCTATTTGCCGCCGCCTCAGTCGCCTTAGTTCCTGGGCGCGGAGCGTGCGGAGTCGCGTCCACAGTGCAGGCTTCAGCGGCTCCAGCACCGCCCGGCAAACGGCCGTCTCCACAGCGGGACCTGCGGGGCGTGGGGCGAGTGAGGACAGGCCACCCAGTTGATCCACTATGGCAGGCCGTTACCCCTCCCTAGCTTCTGGTCACCCACAGGGTAGATAGAGGTGTGAACACGTGCCTGGGACAAAGCGTAGGGCTGTCCACGCACGTGTGAGACGGTGCGTGGGGTGCACAGGTTCTTTTATTTATTTGCTTTTTATTTAGAGACAGGGTCCCACTGAGTTGCTTAGCGCCTCGCTTTTGCTGAGGCTGGCTTTGAACTCGCGATCCTCCTTCCTCAGCCTCCCCAGCTAGGAGGGCACCACCCCGCCCGGTTGGTGAACGGGTTGTGACTTGCAGGAAGGGGCAGCGAGTGGAGAGGAAACAGGTGTGCGCACCGATCAGGAGAAAGAAGGTGGATTCGAACACATAGGTAGGGCCAAGTGAATGCGCACCTGAGGCCGTGGGGGTTCCCTTCCAGCCCTCCCCATTACCAAGATCCTCGTCCTTCTGGGGGCCCCCCAGGCCCCTGTTCCCAAAGACGGCTCTGACGTCGGGGTCTTTTGACAAGTGATCCTGGAGGTCAGTAAGGAGGTGACGCACATCCTGCAGCAGCTCGGTGGCCGGGTCTCCTGGCCTGTGGGAACCCACGCAATCCGAGGTGAGGCGGGCCCGGAAGCCCCGGTACTGCCTGGCCACGTAGCTGCTCCGCGCCCTGGCCAGAGCTCGGACGTGGACAGTGAGCACATCCTCCGGGGCTTCCACGTCATCCTTGTAGGGGTCGTTGTCCTCCTCCTCCTCCTCTTTCTCCTCCACCAGACTGGCCAGAGCCGGCCCAGGAGGGCGCACCTCTGGGCTGAGCGGCCCTTCCACCCAGGAGACCCGGTGCTGGACGGGGTTCCTGGTGGCTGGAAGTGAGGAGAGGGTTGGGTTCCACAGCGCAGCGGGAGCAGCGCCCTCATCTCTCCCAGGGCCCCAGCTCACCTGGATCATGCCTCTGGGCAGTCTCTGGCTCTGTTGTTTGGGGGTTCTGCTCTGTTCCCCAGCTTCCATGAGTCTCCAGGTAGAGCTGGTTCACCACAGAGAGCACCCTCCCTGAGGGGTCACCTTGTACCCTGCCAACCTGCACAGAATCTGGAGACCAGCACAAGTAGGTATCCCAGGTGTCTTGGGGTGAACCCTGGTCCCTTCAGAGCACCAGGAGACTTAGTCCTAGCCTTCATCACTCTAGACCAAGAATGGAATGCCGCCGGGTCCCTCCTTTTCCAATTCTGTCCTCTGTTAGGACTCAGGAGTCCAGGATCCCATCTCCGCCTCCCTAAAGGACCCCCAAATCTAGGCCTACAGCTCTCTCTGATCCCTGGTGTTGTCCTCCTTCAAACCCAGTGATCTGGTCCCTCAAGTCCAGTCCCTGTGGAGTAGTGGGCCAGCAAGGCCACCGGCCCTTCTTTACCTTTGTGTTTCTCTCCGGGCGCCAGAGTAGAAGAGGGCAGGATCAGTGTTTTAGGCAAAACATCCCTGAGAAAAGAGAAGAGAACTACAGTGTGCATCTTAAGGACAGTCCCCCTGAGCCCCTATGATGGGTGACCGGTACCTGCTAGCTGATAAGAAGGCCAGGAGGTGGGGCAGGTCTGGCATGCAGAGGTTGGAGGTCTCCAGGGACACACCTGGGGGCAGGAATTGAGTAGGGATGAGAACAAAGAAAAAAAGAAAAAAAAAAAGCAACAAAACTGGAGGGTTGGCAGATTCGTCTCTCCTGGGACTCTCTACCACCATCCCTGCAATCTACCCCCACTGCAGAGGCCTTCAGAACAGGGACATTTCCATTCCTTAGAGTCCCCATCTTTTCCTCCCTCTTGATTCTTGCATCCCACTGATGCCACCAAATAGGATTCAGTCATCAGACAAATATTTAGGAGACAAATTCACTGGCTTCCTGTCTCCTGTGGTGCATTTTCAGTGCTATGAACAAAACAGAGTGATTAAAATGACTGGGACCATCTTAGCTCTGGTGGTCAACAAAGGTTACATTTCTGCAGTGGCCCAAAGGACAGAAACTAAGTCCACTCCAGGAAGACCCAAAGCAAACAAAGGCCCTGCAGCGGGAACACTTACCATGCTCAAAGGTCAGGGCATGGTGGGAACAGAGTGCAGGAGGGGCATTAATGAAGAGGTTTCCATCGCACAGCATCTTGTAGGCCGTGATGAGAGGCTTAGATTTGTATCTAAGTATGTTGGGTGGTATTGGCAGGGTTGGAGGAAGGGCTGTGCAAAGTGCGAGTGATGTCTGGGAAGACCACCCTGGTAGCTGTGCTCAGAGTGGATTTCAGCAAGACCAGAGCGGGGACTACCGCAATGATCCGGGCAACAGGTGATGGGGGCTCAGACTTAGGTGTCAGGGTCAGGCAGGGTGGGGCCGACTTAGGAGATATTCTGGAATGAAAGCTGACAGATCCTGGGGATACATTTGGACTGGAAACCACAGGTAGGTGCCTCACCTCCAGGCAATTTCTGGATCCTGTAGGTGTTGACTTCTCCTGGTGAAGGTCCTGTCTTCAACACCAGGACTTGGCTGGGGTCATGTCCCGTGACCAGGAAACTCTAGGGGCGGGGTGGAGGCAAAGGTCAACTTGACAAGCGTATCTGTAGATATAAACTCTCCCCCTACTCTGAGTTCCATGTGGGTGAGACTGGTTCCCCCAAGCCTCAGGACGTGGGACCGTGACTGCTCTCTGCCTACTTTTTGGTTCAGGGCATGTGACCAAGCTTAGCCAGTGGATGTCTTCCACGGGAATTTTGCTGGAGCACTTTGGAAAACCTCTCTCTCTCTCTCTCTCTCAATGCTGGGGATAGAAACCAGGGCCTTGCGCAGGTTAGGGAGCATGCTACCCCTGAAACACATCTTTAACTCAAAAGATCTCTTTTTACACTGGGGTTGCTAAGTTGCTGAGTTGGTGGGATAGATTCCTGGTCTGGGGACTTTGTCACCATCTTTGCCACCACAAAGACAGTGTCCTCCTGAGGAGGAAGATGTGATAGACCCTGTTAGTTGTCCTTTCCAAATCTAGCCCATATTCCTCGTAGAACTCCTTGTTCAATGCATCAGCATGCCGAGCCACAGGAAAGGGCGAATGATCTGATTGGAGTGGCTCTTAGCTTTGACCGTATAACTCCCAGGTGAGCTTGTCCCCCCCTTACCCCCTGCTCCCCCAGCAGTGACTGAACTCGGGGCCTCGTGTATGCTGGGCAAGGGCTCTACCACTGAGCTATCGCCCCCGCCCTCCAGGTGAGCTTTTATTTATTTATTTATCAGTACCAGGGATTGAACCCAGGGGCACTTTACCACCAAGCCACATCCTCCCCAGCTGTTTTTTCTTTCTTTCTTTTTTTTTTTGAATTAGGGTCTCACTAAGTTGCTGAAGCTGGCTTTGAACTCGTAATCCTCCCGCCTCAGCTTCCTGAGCCACTGGGATTGCAGGCGTGTGCCACTGCACCCGGCCAGGTAGATTTTTTAAATATTGCCATCTGGACCCAACCCAGGTATTCTACCTTTGCTTTTCCTGGTCAAAAAGGGAAAAAGAAAGATACAGACGCATCTGGGAACTCCTTTCTTCCTGCCTGGAAGACATGTGGGCTGGGCCTGGGGAATCATGGGGGAAGTCCTAAAGAATTGCAGAGCAGCTGGCCTTGATGTCACTGAGCTGCTGGCCCAGAGTGGCAGCTGCCTTTCTAGTTATGTTGAGGGATAAATGTCTGTTGAAGCCACCATAGACTGAGCCTTTGTTACAGACCCAAACACCCAGAGTTTCCACCGTTGAAAGCAAAGCCAAGAAATGGGAGGAGGAGAAAGCCACAGGTTGTCTGAGGCTCAGAATCCAGACCTTCCAGAAGATACTTTTACTTCTGGGTTTTTTCGTTTCTCACAACCAACAGGGTCCTGCCTGGTGGTCCCAAGTGTCATGGGAGGGTCCTCAGCTCTGAGACTCACCCCTAGTGGCCACAGCTCCACCAGGGCCTTCGCATCATTGGCATCCAATTCAGGGACCTGCCACACACCACGCGTCCTCTGCAGGCGAAGAAGTGGGGTGCCGAGGACCCCTAGAGGAGTCTTGCCTGCTCCATTTGCCTGTGGCAGGACCAGCCCATGATGTACGGAGTCCAGGAGGTCAGGGATCAGAAGTGGGCAGTGTGACATGGAGCTGGGTCAAAGGTGCAGACAGGGGCAGCCTAGGGACAAAGGGTCAGAGACGGGGCTCAGGGTCTCATGGGGATAGAAGATAGAAGGGATTTATAGTTTTTGGGGCCAGAGATGGAGACCTTGGCCCTGGCAGCCCTCACCTCTCCCCCTGGTGGGAGCCGTGGAGGCCATGTCTGGCCGGACCACCTTCAGGGTATGGGAAGCCAGTGAGCCATGGCCTGGACTCTGACAGGGAGGGAGATATGGCTCAAGGCTGCTCCCCACCAGTATAGCAGGGACCCTGACCATTCAGAAAGGACTCCAGTGACCACTAACTCCAGTGCCCCAGGTTTTAATTCTTTAATTGCTGGATGGTGGAGAAATCTGGGGATCCCAGAGAAAGGCTAGTGTCATTGGTGTGGGGAGAAGACCCACAACAGAAGCTATTTGCCAGGTGGTTGGGAATATGCCAAGATTTTCTCAACTGCTATAGCCGTGAAAATGTGGACTGACTGAATGTGGACCTTGCCAAAACCCAGGGTCTGAAAGAGGTCTGTGTCCCTAATGCAGCGACATTTGTCCAATGTAAGACCATGTGTCCTCTTCTCCCTTCTCAGACTATGGAGGAGCCCTACAATATTTTTTTCTGAACCTTTTCTCTCTTTTTTCGTACCAGGGATTGAAACCAGGGGCACTTAACCACTGAGCTACATCCCCAGCCCTTTCTTTGTATTTTGTTTGGGGACAGGTCTCCCTGAGTTGCTTAAGGCCTCTAAGTTGCTAAGGCTGGCTTTGAACTTTAGATCCTCCTGCCTCAACCTCCCGAGCTGCCGGGATTACAGGCATGCGCCACCAGGCCCGGCTCAACATTTTCTTGTAAAAATTTTCAAACCTACAGAAAATCTCAAAAGATTTTAAAAATGTTTTAGTGCACCTGAATGCCCACTGCGGGGATCCACTGTGAACATTTACCCCTATTTGCCTTATTACACATCTGCTTCTTAAGCCATTAATCCCTCCATCAGACCCCAGCAGTTTTTTTTTTTTTTTCTTTCAGTACAGGGGATTGAACCAAGGAGCTACATCCCGGCCCTTTTAATTAATTTATTTTTTATACATTTATTTTATTTATTCACTTTTTATGTGGTGCTGAGGATCAAACCCAGTGCCTCACATATGCTAGGCAAGCACTCTACCTCTGAGCCACAACCCCAGCCCCCTGGCCCTTTTGAGACAGGTTCTCACTAAGTTGCTGAGGCTGGCCTTGAACTTGTAATCCTCCTGCCTCAGCCTCCCAAGTGCCTGGAATTACAGGCATGCGTCACTGTGCCCAGCTAGACCCCAGGTACAGAGTCCAAAAGGGCTTATCCCTCAGAAGAGCACTTTTGAGTATTTCCCTGTAGCAGTTCCAGGAACAGGAAAGGAGAAAACATCACTGAGCTCAGGCCTAGAGTTAGGTGCCGGTGCCCCAGGGAGGGTGATGAGCACGAGGGCCCTGCTGAGGATTCCCTTCCCGTCTGAGGTGGTGTGTGACAGACAACCAGCAGCTAGGAGAATGAATCGACCCACTGACCCAGAGCCCAGGTTAGGAAGGAGGCGGGTAGGGGCAGGTGTGTGCGGGGGTCCAGTAGACGGCAGAGAGGGTGAGGCCAGGAGGCGGTGTCCCCTGGGAGGGGGAGGATGTGGGTGGTGGAGGCCAAGGTCGGGTGGGGGCAGCTGGGGTGTAGATGCCAGATGCTGGGTCCCTGGGGGCCCTACCTGTTTCCGACGGGATGCCTGGGGTAGCAGGAAGTGAAAGTGTCCTCTAGAGAGGAAGCTGAGCAGGCAGGGGGAAGAGGCGGGGCTGGGGGTATCTGAAATCAACCTTCCCCCCTCTTTCCGGGGGCTCAGGGCTTAGGAGATTGGACACTGAAGGAAGGGACTCTGACAAGTTTGGAGGCCAGAGCTCAAAGTCAGGAGGCCCATCCACCCTTAGGGTCCCCTCCTGGCACCCCTCGCTGTTCCTCTGAAGAGCCTGGAGAAGTCTGTGTCCTTAGTGGCTCAGGATCTCACCCCACCCGCTGGCTGCTTCAAGTACCCCCAGAAAGGAACACAGAGACCAGACAGCTGACGATTAGTTGGTTTGGGTTTTTTAATTTGTCTCCAAACAAACAACATCCTCTGCCCATCCCCACGTGGGCAGTGGGTCCCAAGGGGAGGGGGCCCAGCACCTACTCTGGGAGTTGGAGGCGGAGACCCAGGAGCCCTATCAGGCTCAGACCCTCCCCAACCACAGTGGGAGCTGTACTGGGAGGGCCACACCCTGGTCTAGGGTAGGTTGGGTTTGATCTACTTGGCCACAGGTCCCTGAAGCAGTAGAGAGTGAGGGCCCTTGGCCCCCTTCGGTGACAGTTAGAAGTCTGGGGGCACCCCTGGCCTCCTGGGAGCAGTTAGAGGTTAGGGAAGGCTGCTCCTTAGAGGTCCTGGGCTGTTAGGTCAGGCTGCTTAGGCTTTGGCTTTAAGGGGATGTTAGAGATTTGCTGGGATAAAGTGGGGTGTGGCTAGGACCCCAGTTTTAGGAGGGAGTCGTTAGGAGACTGAGGGGGCGTACGGCTCTCCCCAGAAAAGAGCTGTGAGTTAGAGGGGCCAGTGCTGGTTGGGGCTCTGCTGCCCCAGAGGGTCTGGGTGTCCTGCCTGCGAGTCGCGGCTGTCACTAGGGCTTTTCCGGCTCTGCGGTCCTGGCCCCGTCCTTGGTAGGAGGTGGGGACCTCCTGGGGGAAGCTACGGTGTTGGGGTTGGGGGCCCCTGACCCAGACTGGGCATCTATGCTGGCGTGCTCCCTCCGAACGAGGTCCTCCAGCTCTTTCTGCAGGGCAGAGTTGGCAGAAGTCAGAGGTCACCACATGCCAGAGGGTCAGAGGACGCGTGGGTTGGGTGGGGTCCAAGGACTGGGAGCAGGGTAGGCTGGGGTCCCCCAGCCCCTCACCTTCCATCCGAGGAGGTCAGCGAGGGCCAGGCAGCCCTGGTCACAGTCACCCAGCCAGGCCACGTCCCTGCAGTGTGGGCAGGACAGTCAGCGGTGGCCGAGGCCAAGGCCTCTGCTGGTTCTTGTGGGTCCCTGGGCCTTCTGCCTCCCTCCCCCGGCACTGTCCCTTGCGGGCTGGCGCCCCGCCAGCCTCACCTGTAGGCCTTCTTGGAGTCGAAGTCCATGCCTCTTCCCAGGCCCATCATCATGCCCAGGAAGGGGTCCGTCTGCAGGGGAGGGGAGACTGAGGGCACAGCCCCGGGGCCAGGTGCCTGGGCGGTGTCCCAGCTCTGGGATTTGGGTCAAGTGACTGGGCCTCTCTGGGGCAGTCCTGGCACCCCGGGGAGGGCTGCAGCGCCACACACCCTGCCCTGCCCGCAGGCGCTGCCGCCACGGATTCAACTGACTGGGTCGAAAAAGGTTTTTAAAAACTGCGTCTCCACCGGACACGTCCAGTCCCATTTTCTTGTCGTTATTCCCTAAACAACAGCCCCACAGCAGCGCTCCCCAGCGCTGACACGGTGACGCGTTCTAAGACACCTGAGAGGACGGAAAGCGCCCAGGGACGAGCGCAGGCCCTGGCAAACCCTTACCACTCTACATAAGGACTCGAGCCTCCTTGGATTCTGGTAACCCAGGGGGTCCTGGAACAGTCCCCCTGGGGTGCTGGGGACAACTGTCCATGCTGGGAACAGTATGTAGCCCACGGGATGCTTACTCAGGCCTGGCAGCTGTGTCCTCTGTCAGTCAAGGCGACACCCCTCCCCGGGAGGGCACGAGGCCCAGCTGGGGTTCCCCGAAGGCAGCAGCTGCCAGAGCGAGGCCACCCCAGGAAACAGCTGGGGAGGTGGGGCAGCCCCGCCTGCGCTGGCCTGTCGCCACAGTCGCAGGCCCTGGGCCTGGCTTCGCGCATCCCCTGGGCCTGACTCTTGGGTCCCAGGAAGCACTTCACTCCTCTTTTGTGGCTTTAGCAGGTTTGAGGTGGGCTCTGTCACTTGCTTGAAAGGGTCCCGAGTGACCCAGAGCCCTGTGGAGTCAGGGCAGCTTGGAACGTGACCGCTCCAATTCTTGACTCCTGAGTCCGAGCTGAGCAGCCCCAAGGCCTGGGACTCCCCAGCTGGAATTCTCTCGGGGACCTGTCCCCTCCTTCTCAGAAAGCCAGCGGGAGGGAGGCCCGCAGCACGGGAGGAGGGGAGGAAGGGCACCCGGCACCCACCTGGCCCGTCTTCTCCTTGTTGATGAGCAGGCGCGGGGTGGAGAGGGGTGCCCTGGGGGCGGAGGGGTGGTCAGGCTCTGTCCTGGCCCGTCCCCGGCCGTCCCCCCACCTGACCCCCACCTACTTGCTGACGAGGGAGGCGAAGGGCTGCACCTGTAGGGAGGTGCCCATGATGATGAGCAGGTCCACCTTCAGGAAGTCCTGCGCGGGCGGAGTGGCAGTGAGCTCGCCTCTGCTCATCCCGCAGCAGGCCCCCCACAGGTGGCTGGGAAGCGACCTTCCCGCACAGGGGAGCAGGGCCGGGGACACTTACTGACTGCATGCAGGAGAAGAACCGCGCCGGGAGGTTCTCGCCAAAAAAAATGATGTCTGAGGTGGAGACAGATGGACGGACACAGAGACAGGAGGACACAGTGACACGGAGACAGAGAATATAGGCAGCAGGGGAGGCAGACCCGAGGCTGGGGGTGGAGTCGGGGAGTAGCGGGGACGGCAGGGGGACAGAACCCCAGTCTTCCCAGGACGGACGGGGGCACTGGCTGGGGAGCAGGAGTGGCCGGGGCTGGGGCGGGCAGGCGCGGCCTCTGGGAGAGGTCAGCGGGGCGCAGGCTCCCTGGCCTCGGGCTCACCAGGTTTCACCACACTCTGGCACTTCTCGCACCGTGGAGTCACCTCCGTGAAGAGCTTCTCTGGCAGGAGGGACAGGAGGAGAGGGACATGAGACCTGGCAGGGGCTGGGCCGCCGCCCCTCTGTCCCTCCTCACGGCCAGCACGAACACAACATTCAGAGCAGGGTTTTGATGGCTGTCACCCCGGCCACGGGGACCCTCCTGGGATGGCTGCCCTGCTCAGAAAACACCTCCCCTCTTAGAGAAGGTCCCCGCCATCCCCAGGCGTCCAGGGCGGCCCCAGCACCACTGCCCACAGCTACCGAGTGAAAACCCCAACACAGGAGCAGACACAGCCCGCCGGTGCCCGCCTGGGGAACTGGAGGGAGCTCTCCCAGGGAGTCTTGGAGGACAGCCCTACGTCCCCCCTGGGTCACAAAGGCCGGGTGACCCCCAAGCCTGGTGGCAGCAGAGAGAGGGAAGGACAGGCACATGATCCCGGGATGGGACAGAACCTTAGGGCCAGCTGTTGCCCATTCTCTGTGACAGACCCCTGTCCCACCCCTGTGACAATCACCCTTTTGCTGTTTATGATTAGGAAACAGGAAAGCACTTCTGTCCCTTGCACCCCACACACTGGATGCATTTGTTCAACTATTCACTTGTTCATTCCACACACTCGTTCAGAGCAGGGTTTCCATGGCTGTCACTGGGGCTCTTTCTGCACCGACCACATGCTGTTTGTGGGTGATGCAAAAGATCCCGCAGCGAGACATAAAGGGGGTGCTGTGCATTGTATGTCGCCCCAGCTGCGTGCCCAGGGGCAGTCGACTGGCATCTTCTCAGAAAGGCCACCCCCAGTGGCTCTGCCACAACTGCACAGCTGTCCTGATGTGCTGTGGACACCGAGGCTCTGTTAGGTCAGCATAGAGAGTACCAGAAATGGCTTCCCCCGGCCTGACGGTGGCTTCTCTGTCCACAATGATGTCAGACATAGGCTTGCCCTGGCCTTCAAGATGTGTGGACTGCTCATTATTTTTCCTGGACCCTGTCCCCACATGAACAGGGATGACAGCCCCAGCGAGCCTGTGGTCTGTCCCCTCGCACCAGCCCCAGCCCTATCCCTCCAGGCCTGCCCCCAGCTTCCCGCGCCATGGATTCTGTTCGTGCATCCACTATGGCAGTCAAAGAAAGCTACCAGGTAGCTGTGCGACTTAGATGAATAAAACATTTAACAACACTAGAAGTTCAAAGCTGGGTGTGGTGGCACTTGACTGAAACCTTAGCAGCCTGGGAGCTGGGGCAGGAGGTTGCAAATTTGAGGCCAGCCCGGGCCACTGAGTGAGAACCCCTCTCCGTACAAAAATAAGAAGGGTGGGGTGCAGCTCAGTGGGGAGGGCTTGTGAGGCACACGTGAAACTCTGGGTTCCATCCCCAGAAACGCAAGAATTAAAACATAGGAATAAACCTTTTGGGCTGTGGTTGTGCTCAGTGGCAGAGCGCTTCCCTAGCGAGTGTGAGGCACTGGGTTCAGTTCTCAGCACCACATAAAAATAAATAAAAAATAACAGTCCATCAACAACCTAAAAAAAGAATCCACCTGTAATCACAGCTATTCAGGAGGTTAAGGCAGGAGGATCCAAGTTTGAGGCCAGACTGGGCAACTTAGCAAGACCTTGTCTCAAAATTTTTAAAAAAGGGCTGGGGATGCGGTGGCACAGGCCTGTAATCCCAATGATTTGGGAGGCTGAAGCAGGAGGATCACAAGTTTGAGGCCAGCCTCAGCAACTTAGAGAGACCCTGTCTCAAAATAGAAAATGAAAAGGCTGGGGATGTGGCACCCCTGGGTGCAATCCCTACTATGCCCCCCGCCAAAAATTTTAGTTCCTCGGTTCCACTAGTCGCACTTCAAGGGCTCCGCAGCTGTGTGTACAAGTGGCTGCCTATGAGTGTGGTCACAGCAGGTGTCCCTCATCTCACTGCTGGACAGTGC